GGGAAAGAGAATATGCAGAATTAATGGTCAGCTGGAGGAATTGTAGTCAACTGGGGGAAAAAATAAAAAAACAGAATACAAGGCATTCACAATTTAAACATTGCCTAGTTGCATTAGCAGTTTCCCACTGGAGTGCCCAGTTTTGTGACAGGTAGAAGTGCCAAGACTGAGATGATACTTCCAGTCTGAAGCTTTCTTGAAAGGGAACTTATCTGGAACAAAGTTTAGGGCTTGTGGTTTACTGAATGATGGTCTTGGACATTTTTTTGTTAGTTTGAAAGTAGCATTCTATCTGTTCATTGGTCACAGGTATTAAACTGAGACTTTCCCATTTAGATGTCCTTTCTTATTTCCAAAATTTCTTATTTGGGCAATAACAATGAATTGTTGCTTCTTCTAATACCATTGCAGAATCCATGCAACATTACAGGGATGAGTATGTCATCCTGCATCAACAGATTAATTCACTCAGTTTCTAGGGAACTCTCCCTGATAAGGGAAATACGAGGGTTTTCTAGAACTGTGGACACTAGGATGCAACTCTAATCCCTAAAGTAGATAGCAATAATTTGTATGACCTACATGTTACTTGGCCAAGATGAACCTAGCATGTTCAAATATAATTTGCCTACCCTAACCTAGAGTTTTAAAGTATAAGTGAGTTTGCTCAGCTTACAGTTTAAAGATACCATCTTTTTCTAGTGTTATTGGGCCCAATAACAGAATCTAAATGCCATGGTGTCTTTAAGTGCATATGGGCTGGCTTTCAAATGGCACAGTCACTAGGACATGACACTTCTGTGAATATTTCTCCTATGGTCATACATAATATTTCCTGAAAAAAGGTGTCTGGAGGTCAGAGGAACAATCTAACTTAACATTGATACTTTCTTTTCCCTTCAACTTGCCTATAGTGGTGCCTTGGGAATGGCCAACATAATACAGTTGCTCTTGTCCAGTTTTCTGCACAATGAAATGTATCACTGCTGGAAGGTCATACTTAGCCATTTCATCATAGCTACAAAAGAAAAAGTAGACATTTATATTAGCTGTCTAATAAAGTAAGAAGTCTATATTTAAACAGCAAAAGTCCTCAAATTACAAAACAAACAACCTGTGTCATATCACTCCAAGGCTTTATTGTTTTCCCCTCAAATGGGCAGAAAATGTGGCTTTTAGCCCCATTCACATTGGGCTGCAAATTGAGATAAGACATCTTGTTCAAGCTATACTTTAGCTACCTCAGTCGATAAGAATGATAACCCAAATTAAAGAAAAAAATAAAAATCCCTTGTTTTAGATAAATGCCTTTCGTATCTCAGTAAGCTGAATCTAGGTATAATCAATCATAGTCTTTATGATAATGCTAATGTTCATGGATAGGTGCTGGATATTTTAGCATGGCTATATTTAAACCTTTATGTCCATTGATAGGTGCACTTCAATCTGTTAATAATTCATTTCAACTCAAGATAAAACTTTTGAAATCTACAAAGCAACAGGTATGATGCCTGTATAAATAAGGAAGGTCTCTATAAATTGCTGGGGCTGAATTTACTACAGTGAGGATCTAATTTTCTGAGTTGCTTAGCACACTAATGTCAGTGAAGCATGGAGATATTCTGATGAAAACCTAGTTAAACAATTGTGCACCCAAAATTCATGGAGATCTTTTAGTATTTTTGATCTAATTCATACTTTATTTCTTTATAATGTTACAAAACTTATGTTTAAAAATGGTGCTGTGAAAACACTAGACAAGTTCACCATTTTTCCAAATGTTACAATTCACCTGAAAGCCCAGAATTCCTCGTGGTCCACGGAAAGGGTTTTATGTTGTCTAGACCAGGTATTCCCTCTGCTATTTCCCATCCAAACATCATAGCCAGCATCTGCTAGAAGGAAGCCTAGGCTATTGTCAGGCATATTAGTAATCCAGTTGCTGGCATCTGTAAGCAAACCATGCTGCAGAAACACAACAGGCTTTGGACCTGAAAGAGAGATACATTGACTATTCCACCAAACCAGTGATCTAAATAACTGTAGTCAACATTTCAGCTGAAAGTTGTGCACTTTAGAGCAGCAGTTTCCAACACTTTTCATAACGCAGCCCTCATTAATAACTCCAAAGTAATGTGCATGGATGAGGAAAATGAAGTAATCCAGCCAGAACCAGAAGTAGCATGTGGCAGCCATTTCTGAATTGTAGAATGTGAAGTTGGAAGGGATTTCAAGGGCTATCTGGTCTAAATCCCCAGCAGCAATGCAGGAAT